GTTTAGACTGCAGGATCCTACTTAGATGGGAGAATAATGCTTTTGAATGCTGTTTGTAGACACAAGATTTTGTTTAGAATTAGACAACCGATGTCACCAGGAAACTGCATTTTTTTCCTCTCCTTGCTGGAGAACCAAAGAGGGCCTGCATCAGTGCAGTAGCTGTTACAGGAAAATAAATAAAAATTATTCAATTCAGAATCACAGAACATAATAAATATTCAGGGTTAGATTTCTGTTTAATTGAATGCTTTATCACCACAGAGCCGTGGGACTTCTCTTTGCTATATGTTTAAGGCAGTGACTTGATTGGAAATGGGCTAACACTGAATACTGTGTTTTAGTCATAGTGTTCTCACTTATTGCTCTTCCCCACTGTAGACTTTGCAGCGTTATGCTCCAGTGCATCTTTATAGCTAAAAACTGCGGGGGAAAGGAGTTTGCATTGATCAGGCTTCCTAAGTCTGGTGAAAGCCAAACTATGTGATGAAATAGGTCCTTGCCAATGAGCTTCCAATTCAATAGCAGTTAGCTTCTCAGCAGTAGTTATTAGTTGTCATGTGAGATTTCCCCTTCCAACATTCCCTTACCCTCCCCAGTTTTCTGCAATTTTGTCCTTTTCTAGAAAGATCTTTCAGGTTGCTCATTGCTGTAGTCTGTTTCTGACACAAGGCAATGTTATTCTTAGTGCCTTGTTCTTTTTTGTTAGAGAATATAGTTGGTGCTTTAACTGTAGCTGAACTTACCTTTCAGTGACTCAGAACAGGTTGTGTTCCCATTTTTAAACACCGTGGCTTTCTGTTCCTGAGCGCAGTGTAATGATGCATCTCCAGCTGAGAAGTATCATTTAAAATGGCAAATAAAAGACTACATAAAGTTAGGGGGAGATATGTTATATGGTGCCAAAAACTTTACTAATTGTCTTAAAAACTGATTTCATTTGCTTGACAAATACTTTGAAAATTCACATATATGTGCATGCATGTTTAATATCTGACACTTTATTACTGCCATTATTGAAATAGTAAGTTAGTGCTAGGCTGTGCTGGCTGGATAAACAGAAATGTAAAAAGTGTGCTGTGCTTCATTCAAGAAAAGCAGTGATAGCTACTGCTGTGTTAATTTCTTCTGTCTTAAAATCTGGTCTTACATGTTTTGGGGTAAATTTCGTGACTTCGTTTTGTGAATGTTGTCGGTTCACCTTTCACTCTGCTACTTACTGGGAAGAGTGTACCTTCCAAACAGCTTTGTTGGGCTTACTTGCCCCACTGCTGAAAGCTTTCTTTGGGCATTTTACGCAGCACTGGAAATAGTTGTTGACAGCAGGCCTTAAATGACCACCCAAGTTTTGTCTTGCATTTTTCAGTGCATAATTCTGTATATTTTTGTGTATTATTTTATTATATTTATTTACCTTCTATATTAAATGCTATATCACAAGCACTTTCTGGTTTGCCTCTTTTATTTTTATTAGTAAGTGTTTGATGTAGATAGTTTAAAAAATAAACTTACATGAGATATTTGAATCACATTTGGGCTCTAGGCTACTCTTTAGGAAGAGATATTATGTAGTACAATATTTTTATTTTGCTGCGGTAGGTTTAAAGAACTGTAAAAGTTGAAAAACTATAAAATGAAGAAAATCAGATAGAAAGGCTTATAGATGGCAAAGTAAGGTAGTCAGATATTACAGAAATTACTAAAGGAACTGGAGATGCAATTCCTCACAGATCTGTGTGTGTGAGTGGTTATATACTAGACTATGATCCTTTTTTAATACTAACATTTGGATTAGGATTCAGGTAAACCTAATATAGGCCTTAGTTTTAAGGGGGAAAGAAAAAAAGAGAAAATCAACTGAAAACAATCTTGGAACTTATTCTGTGAAAAAAAAAATATGTCAGAGTTCTGTGTTTTCGTTTCTTGTTGTTATTATTCCCACATTTAATTCTTGAAACTTGTAATGAGTTCAGATTACTTAGAAGTTTAAGAATAAAAAGGCACTGGAAATACACTTTCACTATCACTGCAACTCTTCTATTCTTTACAAGTTTGTAATACATTGACTGTAGAGAGTGGCAGGCTTAATGTCTCACGGTGGTTTCTTCTAGCTTTCTGCAGAACGTAAATTAAGACCTAGGCAAGGCTATTGTGTAATGAGCGTCAGGTAAAAAAACGAAAGTACTTCATAAACTCTGTCTGCCAGTGTTTTTTTAGGATAACGTGCTGTATTGTGCCCCGTCTCAGTTTGAAAGACAGGAATCTGGCTACCTGAAAGATGAGTCTCCCCACACTTTCAAAACCTGATACAGGTTAGAGCCTTGTACAGACTAAAAATGGACTTCAAATCCTAGCTCAGTGTGCACTTCTGAAATTTTACTCTTCTGTGTTCCCTCTAAGTTTGTCCTTCTCTTCTGTGAAGAAAAAATGAGATCACACAGTTAACAGGCGAATATTGCCTAGATCTTTTTTTTTTTTTTAATTCTAGGTGAAAGTAATTCCTAGATACTGAATAGGAATAGTTGGTTTTGAGCATTTTAATTTTTGATGGAGATCTTTCTAAAGCCTGACTAAAACATTGATCTAGAATTTAACTTTTTTCTTTTTATTCCTTATCCTGTGTATTGGGAGATGAGGGAAGACTTCAAAAAGCTGGGAGTGAATATTTTATTTATATTTGATTTCATGAAACTCCACACTCAAGAAAATAAGTGATAGTCATGAGGTTTGGCAGTACAGCAAAACAAAATATAAACTGTTGCATGGATTCATCCTCTCCTAGTGTTGTTGCTTGCATGCTACTGGCTGAATTTTCACCAGTTGCAACATCACAGGGATTTCGTTATTCCCTAGAATAAGTTGGAAAAGGCTTAGAAAGTGTTCAGCTGTGAAATAACTTTTTAAAAGCTCAGTTTTAGAGTATTATTTTATCTCCTAAATATATGACCTGATTCTAAAGCATACTGACTACTTTGGTTTTTAGTTTTAGATCAATCTAGATTGTAATTTGAGAGAAGCATTAGAAAAGAAAGCTAAAGTAGAAAGAGAAGTGTTCCAATTAGAAAGAAGTTTAGCTATTAGAAAAAGATATAAGGGAGTGATTGAAATAATTTGTGACATAGAGGTGTTTCTTTTTCCAGCACTTCCTGTAGTGGAAGTATGAAGAATGACCCTATTACTGAAAATGGCAACAGTTCATAGCTTTGGTCAGAGAATGGGTTTGCCAATTTCGCTAAAATTGGTGAAAAGCTAGATAAATGTGTTACCTGGTCTGGCTGTTTGGATCCAGAACCAGAGTATCCACTCTACACTTGTGAAAATACGAGTCCATTCCATTCCGTGTTTTGAATCTTCAGTGAGTTGGCTTGGTTAGGCAAACTGAATTAAAAGCTTAAATTCTTAATTATGATTTTGGCATACTCTTAGCAAAAGTTACTATTCTCAGTACACTCATGAATTAATGAAATATTTTTGTGCACGTGACCAGTTTAGGTCTAAGTGACTTTCCTGGATGTAAAATCTGGATTATATTCAGTTATAGCTGAGTGATAATTGAGGACTTATTTATTTTCTTCCCTTTGAAAAATCCTGTCCTCAGGTTTCTTACAAGGCCAAGGCTTTTGGAGAATTTAATGTAAATGGTTAATATTGACACTCCTTCTCCCTCTCTTATTTCTTCTGACTTCCTCAGTTAGAAAATAAAATCAAAGTAATTTTGTTCATAATTTTTTTAAATCCTTATTGGTATCTGCCATCAACCATGGTTTTGAACCCGAATAATTACATAAATTTTTCTACTAATAACATTTTTTTGTTTGTTTGTTTGTTTTTTTTGACAGCTCTTCTAAGGTAAAATGAGGTGGGGTATCTCACTGTCAGCTGCATGTTTTATAGACAGAAATATAAAAAAGGAAATCTGAACGCTTTCCTCATATCTAAATGCATTCTGATTTCCAGCATTAATTCATTAATATCCACGTATCTTTAGACAGCTTTTAACCCTTTCTGATGTTTGCTCCAGTGACATATTTATAGGCAGTAGTTTTATTACCTTGTAGCTGAAGTAAATAGTATTTTTGTAGGCTGCTTTTCAATGCACAACTTCTATCCAGCTGACTAGCTCTTTATTTCATATGTTCCAGATTGAGTTATTTTTTATTTTTTTTTTTGAAATCTTTACGAGAATTCTGGACAACATTGCAAACTTATCTTCCTGATGTCTTGTTACAATGATGTCAATTTTTTCCTTGTTTCTACTAGGAAAATTCTATATTTTTCTTTTTATTCTCCTCCCTCCCAGTTAGTAGCATTGTTTCTAATAGCTGATCTTCCCTTTTCTGTCCACAGTTCATAATGGTCACCTTGTACTTGGCTCTTAAACTACGGGGATGTAAATTTCATCAGACTTCTGTAATGTCAGTCCTCTGTGTCATCACTTTTATCCAGTGTCATCCTTCTCAGCATTTAATGATTTTTCCTGTATTTGTATCATCAATAAATTTCCTTTGAAACTTTTATCATTTCTTTGTCTGGTTACTTAGTGAAAACAGTCCTTAAAAACAATTTTCCTTAAAGAGCATCTTTAGTCACTTTATTCCATTGACATCTTTCTCCTTTCAAAAAAAAAAATAAAATCTAGGTAATCTTTTTTTTTACATATGGTTTTTATTCAAGCCTTTCTGAGGAGTTATTAGTATTCCTACATGGCATTATACCCTTCACTGAAAGTGAGATAAAAAAGATTTGCTGTGTTTTTTATCTTGCTTAGAAAATATGTTATCACAGAGCTATTGAGTTAGTCTTGAACAGACTTGAACCACGTAACACTTTTTCATGTTCTTCCAGTTGCCTCTTCAAAATTTGTTCTAAACCCTTGATTTTTATTTAGATGAGACTAAGAGGTGGCTCTTTTAAAATTCTCATGTTTATAATGAAAACCATTCTAACAAAACACTAATAATAGCAGTAAGCTCTTCAAACAGTCTGAATATGTCTTTCAGCCAATGGTAATGACAACAAGAAATTCAAAGGTGACGATAAAATGGATGGGGCTCCGTCTCGTGTTCTTCATATCAGAAAATTGCCTGGGGAAGTAACAGAAACAGAAGTCATTGCTTTAGGTTTACCTTTTGGTAAGGTAACCAACATCCTGATGCTGAAAGGGAAAAATCAGGTAATTTGTCGCCTCTTTTTTATTATTATTAACTTACTCTGCCTTGTAATTCTGTTTGGGAGTGTGGGGTGGTTAGCAGCTACATAAAGTAGAAAAGATGGCTGTAGAATAAATGCTCAGTTCTGCATCTTCACAGATGAATTTTTGGAATGTAGTAGCTTAGCAAATAAAGTTGGCATGTGGAGAATGAAATAATCTTCTGGAGACTGATACTTGGCAAAATACTCTATCCAACCTCTAAGTGCTGTGTTTTTCTGTGCTTTTAATATAAAGATTGTCTACTTTGTAAATACTGAAATTTACTTGTCTTGGTATTACAGGCTTTTTTGGAACTTGCTACAGAAGAAGCAGCTATCACTATGGTGAATTACTACTCTGCTGTGACACCTCATCTTCGTAACCAACCTATCTATATCCAGTATTCCAATCATAAAGAACTAAAGACTGATAACACATTGAACCAGGTATACTGTTCTGCACTATTAGAAATACAGACAGTAGAACATGATTCATGATGCGTAGTCTTGGCTTGTGTAGCATATATTTAAACCATCTACTTTTGTCCACATTCACTGCTGTTTTACCTGTGTTGTTCCATTTTGTGATATTGAAGGGGATTCTGCTTTGTGTGTAAACTTTCCATTAGGATGAATTTTTCTTCATGTGTTTTCTTAATGTAAAATAGATTCTGAAGATGCTTTAGCTTTATTTTTTTTATATAAAATAAGTTCTCATCTTAGTTTAGGAACTGTAGGACAACAAAAAATAACTATTTAATTCTGGCAACTGAGATGCTAATGCCTCTTTGAATTTCCATAGTGATAATGACTAATACCTATGTTTCAATGATCTGAATAATCGCTCTGGTAGCACTGGTAACATCAGTTTATGATCTGCTGTTCCTCAAGAAGAACATGCTAATGTACAAACGTACTTGATAGTAGAGGGAAAAACAAGTTCTTGCTTCTGCAGAACCTATTTTAAAATAGATCTATCATGTCTGGGTGTATTAGGACAGGAAATTTAGCAAAAATAATGCCTTTGCAAAATAGGTTTTCCTAATGTGATGACCCTGTCTTACAAATTATAGGGAAAAAGACATTCATTTACCACAAGTAAAATTACTTTAAGGTTAATTTGTCATATTCCCTTGATGTTACAAAAGATTGTGCAAATACAGAGTTACATTTTCTGTTACTGGTGTCCTGTCTTAGATAAGGTATGGAAATAGTAAAGTTGTAGCTGTTATCTTTAAAATGATTGTTCTGAAATTATTTTTAAAGACATCTTGGTTCAGATCAATTAATATTGATTTTCTTGTTGATCACATCAATGTTCTGGTTCCTTAGAAACTTTTGATAGTTTGTCTGTCAGAGGTACTCAAAAATTGGTTTTCTTTTTTTCCAAAATGTTAGTTACAAAGGAAAATAGTTACCTTTATTTTGGGGGGAGAAGAATGGTGTCTGGATTCTGTCTGCATGCCAGTTTATCCTGGATGGGTATATTGCCTTAAAAAGCTTTCTGTAGTATTGTTCTGTCTTCTATGGTGATGGTAGTTTGTGTACATCCCAGAACCACCTTCACAGCACGTGGGATGTAGTGTGACTCTTCAGCGGCTTTTATGCCACCATACCCTTTGATGCCCAGTTTTATCATTCATATTCCTAGGATTTCAGATCTTTCCTTTAACCATAACTAAAGACTATAAAGAGTATGGCAGTAAGTGTTCTGTAACTAGCATTTCATGAGTCCTATAAGCCAGAAGGTGGTTGATTATTCATTTTCTGTAAGGAAAGATAAAGGTGGTGCAGATATTGCTAGTTTTCTGAACAAAAAGAGCTTACTGTTATCAAAAGGCATTTTTATAGAGTTAGGTTGATTAATGATAAATGTAGTTGAGAAAACAAGATTTACCTAAAGTGTTCATCAGGTTTGGTTTTTAAACTTTTTTTTACTTATTGATTCATTTCATTTTGGAGAGTGTCATGTAAGTTGTGAGACATCAGAACTGGTCGTAGCTCTAATACCACTGAAATATGCCGTATGCATTAATATGGTGGTTATGATCGGTCATAATTTTTACCTGGAATGATTGCTTTGTCTCTTCGTTCTGTGTTGTTTTGCTTCATAAGACTGCCCTAATGGAAGTATTACCTGGAAATCTTTTTTCCCTCTACTTTTTCTTTCTCAGAAAAAAAAATATTTTGATGCTTTCAGTTCTGGCAGTAGAAGTAGTTTAATGTAGTAGATGTATGTTTTTACGATGTTGTCATTAAACTGAATTTCTAAGACCTTGCTTGTTTCAAAAGAAAACAAATGGGGGATGGGGGGGAAAACCACAAAATACAGCCCCAGTTGAAGAGTATTTCTTTTTTTCTTCTTAGTAAAGGGTGTGAATATCAGACACCAGGTTGTTTACCCCTCTATGGATACTACTTTCTGGCACTGTCAGTTCTGTGTATTATTTCCTTGTGTTACAACTGAGAAGTTTGGTAGTGTTTAGCATTATCCCTTTCTTTCAGAGCCTTCTACGTAATTAAAATGGAATGAAATGTTAACTGTAAGACATACTGGAAACACTACAGAAATTGGCTTCTGTAGGCTTTTTTCTATAAAAGAGTCTCGAAGGAGTCTTGACATACACAAAATCCTCTATTTTTTGTCCTTATTGGTAGAACAATATGCTTGCTTCTGGGAAGATTAATACTTATGCAGTCTGAAGGCTTAATTGATGTTTTCATTTTTTTCACAAAGTTGGACTGCATTTCACTTCTGTTGTGTTCTGTGTGTAGCTCTGATTTTTCTGAAGATAACCATTATGAATATCACTAACTAATTTCTAGCTATTGTGTTGAAATATTAAATAAGATCTCTTTAAATGTCTTCTGTTGCTTTGTGTCTTCAAGCGGGCCCAAGCTGTTCTTCAAGCAGTGACAGCCGTGCAGGCAACAAATGCTCCCATAAGTGGGACCACTGTGAGTGAGAGTGCAGTGACTCCAGCTCAGAGTCCGGTACTTAGAATAATTATTGACAACATGTACTATCCCGTAACTCTGGATGTGCTTCATCAGGTAAGCCAAATTTTGCTTTAATTTGAGCTGTGATTGGCAGGAACTTGTGTGTAAAACTTTATGATGTTTTTGACAGATATTCTCTAAATTTGGTGCTGTATTGAAGATAATCACATTCACAAAGAATAACCAGTTTCAAGCGTTACTGCAGTATGGTGATCCAGTGAATGCACAGCAAGCAAAACTAGTAAGTATAGTTCTCTTTTAAGGCTAAGCTACAAAACATGGATTTCATTGTAAGTGCCCAGAAGAGAGTGCCTTCTTACTTGTGGGACCAGAGTATGATGCAGCAGTGACACAACAGAACGAGATCCTAATTTTAGACGATGCTATGAACTAAATTTGCTATGAACTAATGCATTGTCTATGCATTCAGAGCATAGACTCTTCTGTCCTTGATATGAGAGGCAAGAACCAGTAATTACTTTTATTCATTACAGCAGGAGAGAGTATGGATAAACAACGACAAAGATTGACTGTCATCTAGACCAGACATTTTGAATTAAGTGAATAAGATTTGTTAGCAATAGGAAAAAGATTTGTGGCAATAGGAAAGGTGAACCAAAAGGGAAGGATAGATATTTAAAAAAAATAAATAAAATGAAGGGATAAATATAATCAATGTATATTTTTAAACCTTCGCATACATTCTGTGTTTATGGAAGGCTGATTAAAATTGATGTGTTGGTTGTGTTGCATGGTAGCATAGAAAGTGCTTATTACCCATAGGTGACAGAATAGCTGAGAAATTAAGTGGAAAAAGTGAAGGAAAGTGGAGGAAAGAAAAAGCAGGCTTAGATTTACACTCTGCCTTTAAGAATGATGACTACGTTGAGATAAAGATGGACGTTAAAAAGTAGAAGATGGTCATTTTTATCTTTATCACCATATGAAATATTAGGCATTGATTAAAAGAGTATGGGGTGGCCAAAACAGGGAATCACAGAAAAAAAAAAAAAAAGCCCATCAAAAAGAGTTCTGTAAGTGGTGTTCTTACTCAGAAAAAATAAGTTAGTCAGGGACAAGGACTTTGTCAACTTGGCTTATGATGATCTACTTTAATCTACCCCTGAAAACCAGTCTGGAAAACTTAAAAACTTGGAATACAGTTAAAATTATTTTCTGAGATGTATAATACAAAGTATTAGATGGTACCTCGGAATAGAGGGAGGTGCAAATACATTACCGTAATAAATAAAAGCTCCCATGGATGGGATACACCTTTCAGGTTGTAAGTAGAATTCAAATAGTGATACAGAAACTAGATCTTTAACCTACAATTGCTACAGGAATTGATTGTAAGCCATTTGAGGTATATTTTAATCCAAGTGTTTCTCGGGTATTTGTTGCGGAGTGTTGTAATTTAGTCTTGATTTGTGTTTGCAAAGTTGTTCTTCAGTAGTAGATGTTAATAACTCTTTAAAACAAGCGCATTTTTGAAGTAAAATGTAATATTAAGTGATGTATTTTTTGACTTTATTTTTTGGGTTTTACCTATGTTATCAGAAGATTTAATGGAAAAATGTTGTCTGTGAAATGGACTGTATATTATATCCCTAGAATTACACTGATACATGTAATTTGCAAATCAGTAAAGAAGTTGCAAAATAACAAAGGATGAGGTATGTAAAAATATGAAAAGAAATACAGAATCTGGTGCTGTTGTTGACTTCAGACAAACTGATGCTAGCTTGTTCGGACACTGGAGTGGTCAGCTTCTGTGTGAACGACTGAACTGAATTGAATAACAGTGACTCCTGCACATGTGGTCATTGTCTGAGTGATCCTGAAGCTGTTGATCCAAAGTAATGAATTGGAACAGGCTTAGGCGTATAGCTTCTCATTTTAACAAGCTTCTAAGTAAATAAAGAATGCTGTATTTGAAGGAAGGTTTTATTTTTTTTTCTTCACCCTCCTCTCTCCCTGAGATAAATAGAGTAAAATAACTGTTTTTATGGTTGAGTTACTATGGTAAAACATGAAGCGTCACCAAAATGAAACTTCCTAAAGGAAAGAAAGTCAGATAATAAGAGAAAAACAGTTTAAATACATCTGGAAATAGTAGAAGCAAGCGGATGTGGTGGCAATATTTAAGTTGCATGGAGTTCAAAATTAAAAGCATGGTAAAAGAGTAAAGAAGTTTTCGATTTGTTTTCCATCAGTTGTTACCATAGAAGATAATGGGGGAAATTTAATTTTCCACTGGCACTCTTCACAGGAAATCAGAATGTGGCCTTAATAGAAATTGAAGACTTATTAAGGAAGTTAAAGAGCAATTTGAAAAACTCAAGTGATGTAAGTACCAAGGAGAGATACTATTCATTTGAAGGTTCTGAGAAAATAGTGACACTGACAAGAATGTTCAATATGAAGCCTCTAGCCCTGTGGGACTCCTTTGCTATCTGAATGAGCAAGTAGTGAAAAATTGCATTCCTGCTCCACTTGCTTTGTGAGAAACTCATTTCCTGTAGAAGTAGATTATGGCTACACTGATTCATGTTTCATCACTGCCTTCAGATTGGATCATTATAGTTCATTATATCTACAAATAAAGGTGAAGATGACAAACTTCAGGTTCTGTACAATTCAGCAGTCTAGCCATGGTTTGGAGAGAGTCCTGAGAAGCTGCAACAGTAGAGCACACTGAACAGCACACTGAACAGCACACTGAACAGTTGTGCTTCTTTCAGTGAAACAAAGTGGTGTTCTGGAGGTGTCTGTGTTCATAAGGAGATTTTCTGTGCATCAGAACCAGCACATTTTCATAGTAAATGATAATACCCTCAGCAGAAGCATCAAACATAAATATTGGAATACTGCTAATGTGGTACACCATAATGAGATTGGAGTGCCAGTGTTTATATCTGCACAGCTGGCTAATTCAAATTTGTCTTTGTGTAAACGAATTAGAAGTACTCTTGCCAAATTTTGGCTATAGACAGTTAATAATGTCTTGTCTTCTGCAGGATTAAGTGAGACTCTTAAGTACGCTATGCATGACAGTTGTCTTGACCCAGAATGAGTTAACAGTATCACAAATCTGAGTTTTTGTTACAGTTGATCATTTGGTTCTTACTTGGCATGTAGGTGTTTCATATTACCCTGGATTTGTTTCTCTGCAGAGATTCAGTTGACTCGCATTTGAGATGCCTTCTTTCCAGTGGCTTTGAGTGACAGCTTCAGGGTGGCTCTGCACTGGTAGTGGTCTGCGGAAAATTTCTGCTGGGGTTTGTTGTCATAAAATTTGTAATGGGAACTTCAGGTAGTCATTTTTGGAACACAAAGCAATGACATCTCAAGATAAGATACTTAGATTCAGGGCAGTGATCTTAGATTATTGCATTAAGGATTTTTGGACACCTTGAATGCTGAAAAAGACTTAGCTGAAATGAATGATAAGCAATATTTAGATCACCAGGAGAGAGCTGGACTGCATACATTGTAGCAGAAAGTCCAGCAAATGCAGTAACGATGTTCATGTCCTTGACTTTCCAACTTTGTAGAGAAGAATATGACTGGTCCTTTAGTCACGGAACTGCACACAAAAGCTCATTTTTGGCTAATGGATTATGCTTTACATGTGGTGTTTAGCCACAGAAACCTCTTGTGTCCAAGACACTTGTCTCAAAAGAAACAGTTTCATTCAAAGGCGTATCCATAGGATGCACTTGGGACACATCTCTCCCAAGATTTACTGTATCACCTTTGAGGTACTTACTTGAGTCTGGAGTATGTTTTGTAAGGATCTCTTGGGATTTTTTTTGATACTCTAAACTGTTACGTCATGTCCTTTTTAAAATATTATTCTTAGTTTCTGCTGTGTTTGGGGGGAGAGATGGTGGGGACTCCAATGGTTTCGTTGTATTTCCTCTGTGCTCATTTTTTTTTCTTTCCAGTCTAATTTGATTTTTTTTTTTTTTTTTTATCAGACCTTGGCAAGTGCTTTCAAGCTATTCTCATCATGCGATAGATCTGTTTCCTGTTTTGGATGATCACTTTAGGTGCCTGCAGCGCTTGACAAAGAGAGGTGCAGATACACTATTTGCTGTGGCTTGAAGCCCTGTGTCTCTAGAAATACATGGTAGCTGAATTTCTGAGCTACATTGCTGAACTAGGAAGTCAGGATGTCTAAACATGAAATCATTTTCTATCTCCCAAACTGCATTCTTGTTTGTCATCTTTGTACTATATGTGAATTATCTAAAGAACCTTGTAAGTAACATCTGTCTCCCTGAAGTTCAGAGGGCTAATTTGACCATCTTCTGTAGGGGCATTTAATTCCCCAGGTTGATGGTCTATACAGGCACTGGGAGAAGCTCATCGAAGCATAGTTCCTACAACTACAGTACTTTTCCAGGGGCCATTCTATCACAAGGATTTTGAGTCATCTTGAACCCTGAAAGTAAAAAGAACTGTGAATTTTATCTGTTACATCAGAAATTCATTCATTCAGGCAAGCAAGGCCTGACAGAAGAAATTACTCAAATAACATTCTCTTTCTCCACATCAGAGCCTACTGATAGATCTGCACGAGGCTGTATCAGAGAGCTGCATCAGTCATTCAGGATGTGACAACATTTTGTAATCTCATAGGGTACTTCTGCTGAGTTCACCTTAGCTGCTGCTGCTGTCACTTCTCTCAACAACTACAGTCACATTTGAGAATGAGATGCAAGTGTTACAACTCCATGGTGCCTAGATAGAAACTCTTGCTGTCCTTTTGCAGAAAAGCTTGTGTGTGTTTGATTGTTTGAATAATAGATGGAAATACTCTTCTTCGAGCTTTGTTTTCCTATTGGAATAGTCTCTTCTCATCTCCCCTCTTCATCTGGGATTCTTTTTCTCAGCCATTTTCATCACTTCATCATCTTCCTGGTTGCTATTACCAAAAAAAAATATATAAATATTTGTATTTTATTCCATATATATAGTCATTCTTGCACTCGGGCAGACCATCACAGTTCTCTATTTTGGGTCTTTCACCAGGTTAGTTCTGCTGTTTTCTTTGTTGTTAGGCTGTGCTTGCCTATTCTTACCTTCTGTGAAAGATGCTGCTTTAAGACACGAGCAGATTTTGGATTCTTTGTGAATCTAAGCCTGGTTACTAGGACCCTTCCAAAGTATTTTGAATTCTTCTACTGTAGTGGTTATCTAGGAATACTGGCTTCTTTCCAGCCACATCAACTTTCCACTATTTTGAAACTCTGAGCAGCACTGGGGGTTTTTGATTTTTTTCTCAATTTCTGGCTTGTTCCTTTCCTTAGCTGTCATAGCCGATGAGAACTGTGCAGCATACTTAGTGATTAGGAGGTGTGAAGTGTTTTGTCTGTTTTTCATCCCAATAGCAATGTTAGCGGCTGTAAAGAAAGTTTTAATGGTGAAAGCGAGTTTGTACTGTAGAGTTGAGATCTTCTGTATCATTTTAAGCACATGCACCATTCCTGGGGTTATGGGTATTGGTCTGAACTTAAGCTTTTTTCTTTTCTTTCACTGCTGTTTTCTATTGATTGTCTGCATATTCTTACTGGCCATCTTGTTTGTGTGCTCCTAAATACCATAGTGGGCTTCTTCAAGAGTGAGTAGGTACGACAAGCTCTTGGCAGGAGATGAACCAACTTGTCAGGCTCATTTTCCCCCTTAGGAAAGGCCAAGAGAATGGTACACTTATTTGTAATGGGGGAAGGGAGGAAGGCAGGGGCCTGAATTTCAGAAGATTCAGTATCAGAGCAGTTGCATAAGTATCCACTGAAGTATCTGTCCACAATGGCATAAGTTTTGTTATTTCTGTTGTTGAGGCTTACGTAATGGTTTTGCTGTCAGAGGCAAGATAAAGAATGATGCTCTCATTTTGTACTTGTTCTCCTTGGTTTGGCATGCAAGTGGTGTGGCACTGTCACACGTGAATATGTATAGATAAGTGCTCAAAGAAAGAAAAGTTTCTTAGCAGCAACTAGAGTTCTTTGAGATTGTATCTGTATGTACGTTCACTAACGGTTCTGTTACTGTCATTAGTTTTTTTAGTTCCTCTCTGTTTGGGAAGAACTTTGCATGTGCTTTTTTTGCTGTATAAAAAGGAGCTGAGGATAAGTGTTCACGATTGTGACTTTGTTTTTTCAAGATTAGCTGTTGAAGTTGCTGGCAATCTTTCTTGCACTGTTGTTGGCATATGATGCTGCTGGTAGAGGCTGGTGGGGTGGGTTTTCTGTTTTATCTGTTGCAAGGAGCTTTTTCTAGAGCGTGACTGCGCTGCTCATTAAGAGTGCATCTCCTTCCATTCTGGTTCAGGAGCTTCTTTCCGACTGTCTCTGCTCCTGCTACGAGGGATTTCTATTGTGCTGTATTCTTTTGTATGTACTTTAGGTAACTGAGTTTTTCAGAATGATAGGATTTAAACCTTTTAGTAGTTTCAGTATAAGTTTTAATTACTTGCATGGCTCTCTCTTAACCCTTGACTAGACTGGAAACTACAAACATAGGTAATGCTTTGGTTTGCTACTATTTCTATTTTTTAAGGCTAAAGATTTTAATCACTAACATCCTTCTGCCAGCCATAAATCAACATGTCTACAGACTCCAGAGAGAGGTATAATGAGAGTCTTGATTGTGTTTTGAAGACTTAAAGCTTTATGTCACGTTCTGTGATTTGGACAAAGCTAAACAAGTACTGCTTTTTGGTCCCGGTTGTACCTAGTTTTTGTTATGAATGGTTATTTCTTGATGGTAAGGCCATTGGCTGTGTAAACTGGATCTGCCTTTAATCTGTATCTTAGTGTATTTTAGAACGTAAGTAAAAGTGGTGATTGATTCTCTGGTATGTACTTTTTTGTATGTAAGTGTTCCGGTGAGGTATTCTGAAATACAAACCTCAGGAGAGTCTTGAAGTTTGCTTCCTCACTGTATGTGAAAGAGTTAACAAATACTTTATTTTGTATTGTTGATTGCCCTCCTTTTTCCCTCATCCTCCTTGCCCCCCAAAATACAAAATTAATTCTCTGCTTGTATTCTGTGAATCAGGGCAGTAGATTGTGTTGCTGATACTGTATAAAACATTGTTCAAGCTGAGTTTAAAGGAGTTTCTCTTTAATTGCTAGGTATTTGTTGAAACAATTGTCTAGATTGTCAGCTTTCTATCCTTTTTTTCTTTGTACTTTATTTTCCCAGTACTTGAAAGATCTAATAGTACTCTCTTATTTGTTCTTGTACATTGACTGCTAATGGTGTTAATTCTTTAAAGCAATTTTGTGAGCCCTGGTGATATGTCAGCTGTGATAATATATTTTGGAGGAAGGGACAGCCTTGCTGGCCCAGACCTAGCAGGGGGGTGTCTGCAGGATGTTCAGTTTCCAGATGCATCACTGTATGAAAATAGCTGTGTTGCTTTCCGTACCCAGCAGGCCCATTAGGTTCACACAGTGCTTGGCTCGAAATAGCAAGTCCTACCAGAACTTGAATGTGTTGGGAAGTGCGTTGCAGGTGTAACCAAGCTAGCTCTGCAAGAGCTAGTTTAGGCCAGAGGTGATGCGTTTCAGTACTGCATTAATCAAGAAAAAAGAAAGATCTGAGTTTGGTATTTGAAGGCATGTTAGGGTTTTTTGTTTTCTTCAGATGAGTTCTGTGATCACTTCTTAGCATTTATTGAAAATATAAAATAACTTATGGAAGGTGTTGATTTGCTAATCTCTTCTGTATAGCTGTTAGTGTTCTATACACTAAATGAAGGTATGCCCAAAATGCAAATGGAATAAAATCCAGATATATTCATTTATCTGGTATAGAATGAAGACGGGCAAAGTATATAGAGGTCAAAGTGGTGCTGTGTTAAGAGTTCATGTGAATTTTACTGTTGGTAGACATCCATTTAGAAGCACCAATTAATTGTGGAAATAGGATTTTTAAGCATAATTAATATTAGATTGGCAGATAATACTTCAATTTTTTGCAATGACTTCCTTTAAGGGGAGAACAAAAACATGCAAGAACAATGTAAACGTTCTGCTTCAATATATAGCAATCCACTATGTGGTATACAAGCTTAGTGTTTTTCTCATAGTTTCTCAGGTCATCTTTCGTTTTAGAAACATACTTGTTTGCTTTTTAACTTTCTGAGAAATGTTTGGCATTTTGTCTGTGCTGCAGCTATGCTGTGGAATGCAGGCTAATTAATTATATTCAACGGACTAACCTTTAAGCTTGCACTAAAATGTCTCTTCCCACCTTGGTGCATAAGCAGTCTCTTGGTAAGAGAAGTAAACATTGAGCTTCCTGGAATCACGTTAAAAGAGGTTAATGCATTGTAACCTTAATTGGTTTTGAGTTAGACAGTAAGAGGGATAAATATATAAATGCTGGCCTTGTCTTTTTTAAGAACATCCAATGTGTATTATATATTATTTTAAATAAATTGACTTCTTTTTCTAGGCCCTAGATGGTCAGAATATTTATAATGCTTGCTGTACGCTGCGGATTGATTTTTCCAAATTGGTGAATTTGAATGTCAAGTACAACAACGATAAAAGCAGAGACTACACTCGTCCCGATCTTCCATCTGGTGATGGACAACCAGCTCTGGACCCAGCTATTGCTGCAGCATTTGCAAAGGAGACCTCCCTTTTAGGTATGACTCTGGCATTGTACTTTTGTGTTGCAGTCACTTGATGAAAATGTTTGTCAGTCCTTCTAATGAATAAGTATCTTAAACTGCAATAGTGTCCAAAGGCCTGTTCATTTTAGATTGTGATCTGACACTAACACTATTGCATTGTCTTTAGAAGTCCTGGAGAAGTAGATGAGAGAACGTATGACAAATGAGAAATGTATATTAAAAGGAAATCTTAACATTCCTGCTTTTATTCCCAAGCCAGTTTTCACTTCTTTCTAATGTTCCTGTTAGTCAACTGCTACAGCCCACCTTGCCCACTCTCCCAACCATGTTTGTAACAGACTTAACATGATTTGCATGTTGCACTCTCATGAATGCTTATTTGTAATATCAGGTAGTTAAAAATAGCATTTAGTTTTATTCCTTCAATGCGGAATGATTATGCTCTTTGTGTAAAAAAAAAAAAAAAAAAAAAAAAAAAGGTGCCCCTTTGTTTTGTAAATTGCAGGAAAAGAAAATAGGTAGCTGCACTTCTAGATTTATGGTTTATGGTAGATGAGTTCTAATATCCAGTCAGTTTTCGAGCTCATCACAAGAAATAGGTGAATCACCTTGAGGAAACATACAATTACATCTTCAAGTGTTAGCAAAATACTGAATTCAGCATGTTCTGCATGCTTTGGGAGAAATTTGTATTACTCTGGGTTTTATTTTAATTTATTATAGTTCATTACATGTGTTTCACTGCTACTTCTGTGAAGTTGATATTCTTCGGTGCAAACACCTTTCACTCTTCAAAACATCAGACGTAATCTTACGACTTTTATGAAACGTGATTTTTTATGTTGCGATCACTGTTCTTCCCACTTAGTCTTTTCCTTTTTCTTCATCATTTCTCATTTTTCTTCTACAGCGAACTTAAGAACAACAGATTTCTTGTGTTGCTTTTTGTAAAGGATGGGCCAACTCGGAGTGAGTCAGAGTTAATACAAAGTAAAGAGGAAATGTAAAGAGTAAAGGCAAGCCTCTGCACTCCGTGTTACAGCAGTTAGGCAGCCCATAGTGAAAGCTGCAAACACAGGAAGAGGGTCAGTGTACTAGTTATGGCTACTGAAAGCTGCATTAGCTGCCTTTTTCAGAAATCTGATTATTTAAAGGATACATTTCATACCTAGGTGTAGAATCCCCCCAGTAAGGTATCTTGTTTTAACTGCTCATTGTTAAAAATTGGAAGTATGAAATCTTTCATTTCATAGATTGATAGGGAAGATGGATGAGTGTGAAGTTTGACACCATAGAGGTGAGTGCTGTAGCACTCAAAGCAATTAGTAATTCATTTGTCAGAGCACAGTGGTACTAGATGTGGGGCTGCAGTATGAACAGTAAAGAGAAAAAAACAATACCAAATCTGTTTATTAATGAGACCAATCTGTTTATGCGCTGTAAGGCGTGGATTTGGGAGAAGAGAGTTAAAGAGTCATGAAAAACGGTGTCAAATACATGAAATATGTAGCTCTAATTCTGACATTTTCCTGAGTCCTGAGAAGTTGATTTCCAGTCTGTCTTCTAACATATTTCTTGGTGTATAGTGCTTCCTAGTACATGTCAAACTGACGACTTTAATTTGCTTGGCATAATGGAATAGCACTTTGAAGATACTTGAATCACTGGATCACTCTGGATGTGTTTAGTAATTGGGTTTACTATAGTTGTAAAGTTATCAGAGTATCCAAATGACTTATGTTTAGGAGACCTCATGTTCTGGTGTATTAGGCTTGTAAGTTACTTTGATGCTTTTGTGATTTTTGTCCACAAAACTGATCAAGTTCTTTTAACCTTTTGATTTTAATTAGGCTTGTTCTTCTATGTATTCATGTTTTTTGCTAGTAGAATTATGAAGATGCCAGTCATATTAACTAATTAAATATTTTAATTCTCACTGTCTGAATACATCTCTTCAGTTGCACTTGTTTCCTGAGCAGCAGGAAAATAAAAGGATTGTAACACAAGTAACTTTGATTGCAGCTGTTGAAAGTTTTCTGAGCATCAGTGAAGTCAGTCATGTGTTTATTTTGATGAGTAATGAGGATTATGTATTGGAAGAGACTTGAGATAGCTGGGTATGTCTTAACTGTGCTTCATCTGGCAAGTGAGGATGACGATACTGTCATCTCTTCTTGTGCTGCTTGTTTTTTCCATGGTTGCCTTTTTTCAGCTGCAGGGCTCAAAGTCTGTAAAACTTCACAAAAGGGGTCTCTGTTAGTACTGTTGCTGTCTTAGCCATTCAGATGTCAAACTGGGAATGATGATCGCTTGAATATGGAAGAACAGGGTTCTCGTTCTGTGCTGTTTACCGTGCAAAAATGCACAAAAAACTAATAACGTCAATAAGAAAGGATAGGAGAGAAAAAACGAAAGCCTGAACGGGTGCTTGTGCATGCAGTTTGTGGCTGTGTTTCTATTCAGATATGCAAAAGGAGAAAGGTGAGGACACTTTAAAGTTCAGAGTTATAAGATGGAGGTTAGCAAACCATGATGAGTGAAATATGGTAGAATGATGGCAGTCACTTCTTCCTGCTTCTGTATTTTATTTTCACATTTTATTTTGTTTTACAATTGTTTTCTGCAATGAAAAATGTAGGGAGTAAATCTAGTTCAGTCATAGTTACACATTCCTACATTAAGGTGACTATTCCTGCCAATGTTTTTCCACACAAGTTCATGTTATATTTTTAGTATAGCTTTAATTTGCCTTGTATTAAAATGTCATTAATAATTTGCACTTCAAAAGTCATGGAAAAAAGTACTTCGAGGACGAATAAGTAATACATGACATACTGTGTTTGACCTTTCAGGTAAAAGACTCAGTGGCTAGGAAGGAAGATGTATAATGTTTGTATGGTTCAATTATTATCCAGAAAAAGCAAAATCCTGTTATCTGTAATTGTTGAAAGCTAAAATAAAATTAATGATGACAGAGCTTTCAAATACCAGTTCATCTTCTTGACAAAGTAGCTCATGTTTCTAAATAGTTGCAGGTGAGTCCTCAAATCGTCACCAGTGTGTTGTGCGATAACTAATAATTACAGTACAAATTAATCTTTTTACAATTTTGACTTACAGTAGCAAATGGTAGGGACCTACAGATCAAGAATTGTTTTCTATGGGTTCATAATTTGTCTGACCCTTTTAAGAAATAAGGTCTGTCTGCTATATAATCAGGTGGAAAAATATTTTCTGACTAGGTGATCCTAGCTCACGTGAATAATATACTCGTTCATATTTACTGCATCATCAGTTTTGATGTAACTAAGTTGTCAGAAATCTTAGAGACTGTAAATTGTACGTATTTGCAATGAGCCTTGCTTTCTTTTGAAAGCAGAAAATCAGTAATGGACAGAATTGTTTGCTTTCAAATGAATTATCAGCAGCAAATGGTTGTTTGGTTTTGAGTGTATATTTCTTTTATACACGAGGTGACGAAGGTTATAGGAGATCTTAGAGAGGAAAAAAACCTTAGAATAAATAGGAAATGTATTGTACTTAACCACTACAAATTATGCTAAATACAAATAAACAGCTGGAAATATGCTGCTGTAGTTATGGGCTACCACAACTTTTATTCATCGCTGCTTTTCATAGGTTTTATTATTCCTTTCCACTAATTTTCCTTCTAAACATTCTTAATGAATCTGTTTCAGAGGATAACAATTGAGAACATTTTTGTATGAATGCTGTTGAATTAATGTTTGGTTTTAACTTCATCAGTAAGACCAAGAATGTCACGTAGAGGGTTTAATGCTATGAAGAATTTTGCCTTTTAAAGGCAACTACTTGGTTACACCCAACCATAACAGCATCACTAGCATCCTTAAAGTTCCTTTATTCCTAAAATTGCTGGACTATCTTAAAGCTTCTAAGGGTAGGGAGAGGTGCTTAGACACACTAAATGACTTGAAATGCTCTAATGTCTCAGCATTTTTTCATAGCTAAATGATTACCTGTTTCTCTTCAGGTGAACATCCTTCGCATCATGTCGTCATTTATCACATTTCTGTCTGTATGACCTCTGTGGTAGCCAAGCATAAACAAATACGAGTCAGTGTATGCAATACAAAGCACCTAAACTGCACTTCCAAAATATGACTTTCAGAACTGAACAGAATTTTAAAAAATTGTTACTTGAGAAGTTGTATTTTATATTGGCAGACTTTCCCTGCCTATCACGTTGGGTTTTTTTTGTTCGTTCTTCTGCAGGGCTGCTTTCTTTAACTGCCTCCTTTATTAATAGTTTTTACTTGAATAAAGCTATATTCTTCAGATTTAACCCAAGAACAAAATGGACCTATATTAGATTTTTGTCTTGCTATTTATACACCTAGGTATATAGATCTGTTTTTATGCTTTCCTGTCTTTATAAAATTGATTTTGAGAAACAGTAATCACTATGTGTGGACTAGCATGGTCTGTCTAGTTTGATATTCTTTCTCTGACAGCAGCTGGTACTTCTATGTTCTCATAGAGAAGACTGAGGATGGCCTCAGTAATGGATGATGATAGAGTGGCATACCTGGGAGAAGTGCTTTCTTAAACCCCAAATAGCTGGTGCTTGGCTTATGTGCTGAAGCACGTTACATGTCACTTCATTGCATATTTAATAAAATCCTAATAAGAGTGTTTGCAGGATGGAAGGATGACAAATTAGGGTTTTTCCTTCTGTTTTCTATTGGTCAGTTCCATGAATAATGCAAGTAATGCAATAAAATGGTTGTTCTATTCTAGTACACTTTCCCTTTATATTGTTTCATAAGAAATGACTAGAATTTTCTAACTGATGTTTTCCTTACTCAGCACGTCTTACGCCTCTGGTTTGATCTGAGTACTAATGCTTTTATCAGAAGCCATGCTGTATCTTTTTTTAATTTCCTTTCTTAGAACACATTTCTACATGATTTGATAGGAGACAACTAGAAAATATTTTTCAGAGTGTGTTCTGTATTATCTTTGATAAGCGCTTTCACAAAGTTGTGATGGATGTCCTGTTCCCTTTGAAGAGACATTCGTCCAGCCCAGCAAAATCTAATTTTCTGAATTACTTATTTTTTTTTATGAATTTGTGTAATAAAGTATACGTAGTGTTGGAGATCTTTTCTAGAGAATTAAAAAAATAATAATTGTAATCATATTTATCCCCCTGTATGAAAACATCTCCTTTCCCTACATGTTTTCCCTTTTGATACTAAATCTGGATCTTTTTGAGTATACAGATGACTGTCTTTACCGTTGTCATTGTCATATTTGGTCATCGACTGAAACTGAAGAAATTTGCTTTCTCATAATGACTTCCTACGTTAAACTTTATTTTAAAGGAAGGAAAACAGTCTTACGTACATAGCGTACAGGTTATATTTAGACTACCTGGCATTCTGGAAGACTGGTCAGAAGTGTTAGCTTAGTATTATCATATAAACATCCGAAATTTTGCCAAAATGCTGAAATCTGAGAAGCCAATTTCAGTAGAAGAAAATAAAATACTGAAGTTCTGATTTTTTTTTCTTTTCTTTACCCTTTTTGCTATATAAATATCCTTTTACTGGATTCTGTAAAATGTACAAATAAACTGTTGGTAACATATGATAAAGATGGTCCCCTATGAAGTATGTGTAGTGTCATAAGAACCTTTCACGGATCCTGGAAGTAGCATACTTGCCTGGTATACCAGTGACATCACCAGGCAAAACCACCAGATCTCTCCAGGATTTCAGTTTCTGTTGAAGAAGAGTAAAGCACGGCTGAAGGTTCAGCTAATAGCTGTGTGCTTCTTCAAAGAATCGGATTGCATAAAGTCGTGGAGTAACCAGTTTGGTGCTACTTTGAATCCTGAATTTAGAAGTTTGCCTCCTCATCTCCTTTGTGCAGTTTATGTAGGCCTTTTCACCTGACCAGCTCTAGTGCTGTGTATTTAGCCTGAAGCATCAAGTTGAAGTGAACAATGCCTCTCAAAGGGTGATTTCTGTTCCTCATGTTTACTTAACCTATATCACAACTCTTTGGACGACTGTAACAGCGGAGTGGTCTGCTCTGTAGAGTGTTGTATGCAACACTTGTACTGATATAGGTGCTTTTTTTCTTAAACGACTTGTGTGTGTTTCGTAAAATATGCTTTATTTTAAAATTAGGGCTTCCTGTTGCAGCTGTTCCAGGAGCTCTGAGTCCTTTGGCTATTCCAAATGCTGCTGCTGCTGCAGCTGCTGCTGCTGCTGGCCGTGTGGGAATGCCTGGAGTCTCAGCTGGTGGCAATACAGTCCTCCTGGTTAGCAATTTAAATGAAGAGGTCAGTAAAACAATTCAGTGTTTTTCCTCTTTTGCCATACTTCATCAGTCAGTATCTTATAATTTCTTTGAATTTGGTCTCATATTTGGATTTTAAGCTCATGGTATTTTTGCTGTTTATTACTCCCTACCCTCCCCCAAAGTTAATTTAAAAACCATTATTGTTGAATACTTTTGTTTTTCCAGGTAGCTAACAAGTTAATGTCGTTTGATAGTTGGCTACCTTATTTTCTAAGAAAAATATGGTAATTACTGCATGTTTGACATTTGAATTGAAAGCTTTTTTTCTTTTGCAATTATAATCATGTAAACTAGAATTCCCATTTTTGTTTCTTCTAATTGTTTGCTGCTTCATTTCATGCTTTTATCTCACATTTTAAGGTTTTAATTTATGTGAACTACTCTAACACATTTTTCTTTAAAGGTTCTCCCAAAGATCTCGGTGAGGCACTCTTCCAGTCTCTCTTAGTAATTTTTTTCTTGGCAGATACTCATTTGTCTTATTAAAAAAAAAAAATGGTGACAAAGCTTTTTTACCTTCACTGTATCTTTCTTGCTAACTCTGAAATCTAAAGGGGATTGTTTAGTCACGCATTTTTACTGTCCTTTACATTTATTTTGATGGCTGTGAAAGCTGGTATGAAATGTGGGAAGTTTGTATCAGTCTAGCTGTTCCATTTTTAACTGGCCTCTGTCACTATAAATCATTAAGCTTATTTTATCATCTGGTACTAGTTTGTCATCCAGTCTTGCATGTTAAAATGTTTTAGGTCAGAGTGCCATTTTGAAAGATTTTTTGCCTGCATTTCATAACCAGCCATGCTTACGCAGTTAAAGTTTAAAGTTTAAAATTTTTATTGCATGCTTTTTTTTAATTTATTTTCATGTTGAGATGAAATGCTGTAGTTTACTCTTTGATATGAATGTACTTTACCCATATTTGTCTTGGGTGACTACATTTTACTCAGTTTTTCTTGTACAGTACATAAACCAACCATTTTCTGACCAAATTCCTGCATTTCCTATGTACTGACCTATATTTTATTTTTTTTTGTTCCCCACTTATTTTTTTCTTCTGCATTGCTGTTTTCCCTTCCCCATTTCATCCTTTTCCCTTTGTGTTCAACTTCCCTTTCCTTGTCTTTACCCAAATTCCCGTGCCCTTCCCTGTTTTACCCTTTTCTCCTTGTCTTTGTCTGTGTTCCCTGTCTTCATTCCCTACGTTCATGCTTCTGTGCTTGAACAAAATGTTCCTCGGACCAACTTGCCCCAATTAACCGCCTTGAAACCATGATCCATGACCACCTCACCATTCTGCGGGAACCACCCTTCGTTATGGATGATCTGTTCATCTCCGCTCTTCCTCGACTCTTCTCTCTTCTTGTCTTACGCTGCTTGCTCTTCTCTCCTTCTAAAGATGGTTACGCCCCAAAGTCTGTTTACCCTCTTCGGTATGTTATTGTTAGCACTATACTTTTATTATTGATTTAATTTTGTTTTGTTTTGCTTTTTGTTGTTTTTTTTTTGTTTTTGTTTTGTTTGTTTCACCTTAATTCTTATTTGTAGCTAGCACTTTGGCTTAAAGTTGAATAGTAAATCTTTCGCTATTTTTCTTTTGCTGTTTAAAACTCTCCATAGACACGGATTTTCTTTTAATGCATGCTAATATATTTTGCATGGTCTTTAATTTAATATCATTCACATAGCTTTGAGGGTTTATCAGAAATTATTCTTTTCAAAATTCACTATTCAAAATCTTTATCTCCTTTATTCATTTGTGAGAGTGTTGAGTTTGAGTGAGTGATCTTGTTGCTGTCTGAATGTTCCATTGATATGTCAAAATGCGTAACTTAGTTGACTGGCTTTAAAGTAACCGTTTTCTTTTGGGTTACCTTTGACTTTGAAAAGGTGTTTATGGTGATGTGCAGCGTGTGAAGATTTTATACAATAAGAAAGACAGTGCTCTTATACAGATGGCTGATGGAAACCAGTCGCAGCTGGGTAAGACTAGATTTCTGTTTCTATTCCCAATAGTCTAAGTATTTGAAATTAAGCTATGTGAAATCAGGTGAACTAAGCATGTTTTCATCTGTCAATTTTTGTTGTATTAACAAGATCCAAAATCCTATTGTATTAGGTTCCAAAAAGTTTGCACAATAGCCTAAATGAATTCAACAACTGAAACACGTGTGGAGGTCTTTAAACACTCAGCAGACCTCATTTTTGATTCTAGTACAACGACCCTTTGATTTTCTTGTGTTTTTTTTTTCCTTGTTTGTAGGGTTATGTGTGATATGCAACATGCTATTGAAATACTAAATTGAGTAAACCTCTTGTCTTTTTCAGCCATGAGCCATCTTAATGGACAAAAAATGTATGGAAAGATTATTCGGGTTACCCTTTCTAAGCATCAGACAGTACAACTACCTCGAGAGGGACTTGATGACCAAGGGCTGACTAAAGATTTTGGTAATTCACCGCTGCATCGCTTCAAGAAACCTGGTTCAAAAAACTTTCAGAATATATTCCCTCCATCTGCAACTCTTCATCTGTCCAATATTCCGTGAGTGTTGGCTGTCAGTAAGGCAGTAGTATTAATATTATCACAACACACTGAATGGATTAGTAATTTTCTGGTTATACTTGTTTTCTGTCTGTAGACCATCCGTAGCAGAAGAGGATCTCCGCACACTGTTTGCTAACACTGGAGGCACTGTGAAAGCATTTAAATTTTTTCAGTAAGTAACTTTTCTGTACACAGTTTCAACAAAGGACAGCTTAATTGTGTTTTTGTGGCATGTCTTAAGGAAAACATTAGTAACAACCCCTGTATTGTTTGAGTTCCTAATGCCGTTATTTTGTTTCAGAAGAGATCACAAGATGGCCCTTCTTCAGATGTCAACAGTAGAAGAAGCTATTCAGGCTTTGATTGATCTTCACAATTACAATCTTGGAGAAAATCACCATCTGAGAGTTTCTTTCTCCAAGTCAACTATTTAAAAAGGCAGATTGAAAATGAGGGTGTATTGCATTGTTTGGTGTTGTCACCTATTGACTGTTCAGGAGAGTGGGGACCAGAGTTTGTCTTCTATTTTTGGATTTTCTTTCATGCTGTTATCATTCCTTGTTTGTTTAAAAAATAAAAATTAAAAAAAATAAAAATTAAAAAGCAGTGATACTAACTGCTGTTGTCCAACTGTTGTTTAGATAAATCATCATTTTGTTTCAAAGATTTCAAGTTAATACCACAGTTTTTCAACTGAGTTGACATACGTGCCTTAAAAGGGAAAACTAGTACTGCTGAAATCGCGTAACTAGTAAAAATGAATTTGGTTGTCTGGGGCACACTGTTACATGATAATTTCAATATGTTTAGGCAGGGGTGTGTAAAAAGGTTAAGCTTTTGTTTCTCCTGCTTGGAATTGATTTCTTTATCTGCGGGCCTGTCACGTATTTTTCTTTTTAATTGGGTAAGATGCATTATGCTGAAAGAATAAAACAATGTTATTTGATTTTGCAATTTTTTGCTTTGTGCTTTTTTCAGAAAAAAAGAAAAGGCCTTTTGTATTTCATGGTTCTGGTCTAGATTCAGTTATGAATGTAGGCATTTGTTAAAATTAACAAGGTACAGAATATTAATTTTGTAAAGGACAAGAAGTGACTTCTGTGACTTTGAGCCCGAAGTGAAAAGCATTATAGAATCTTAACCTTTTTGTACACACTCTTGTGGGATGTATCATATAAATGTCAGCACTAAGTAATGTCTTGTTTGTGGCTGAATATTTTTCGTAGATGTTTTTGAAGTTGACATGACTTATGTGCATTTAAATATATATTGCCATCTTTAGTTTGTAATTAAGATATGGAATATGGTTGTGGATTTCTGAGCATGTACAGACTGGTCAAGCTAGTTCAGGAAATGGTGCATGTATTTTTCAATGATGAAGAAAGTTTTCTGCGAACACTTGCAGGAAATTTTGTGGCAGTTTTCTAAAACTGACAACCAGGTGGGACCAAAGTTTATGTGCCTTTAGTCTTAATTTACCTTGCATTGTAATATTCAGTTTTAATAAATCTCTTCAAAATATTTTGTATTTAGAAATTAATCTGACTTTACTATAAACATGGCTCAGAATCTACAGATCCAGTTAATTTGAAAGCAGTTCTCTGTCAATCTGAACTGTTACCTTGATTCTGTTTAAATGACCAATGCTTTTTGAAATTGATGTACTTAGTTTCAAGATTCATAGATTCTGTTATCTATGTAGAGAAAATGGTCATGTATATTTTCTATTAGTTGAGTTTTTACATCTTTAGAATTGTAAAATTCAGTATAGTTTGAAAGTGGCACAATTAAAAATTAATTTTCTAACAAAGTCGGGAGGTTTGATGGTTGTTTAATTTCATTTTGTGTGTACTCTGCTTACCTCTGTAGCATGCTCAATAAACACTTCTGTAGCTCTGTATTCACCTTTTCTGTCTTTCTCTGCTGCTTTCTCTCTTTTCCTCCTACTCTTTGTTTTCCACTTCTACTGTGCTTCTAAATTCATGTTTATTCTCTGTCAGGGTGGGAAAAGCATAATATTAATAAATACAATTTTAAGTCTTTTTACTGCAAATCTGATGCTGCAAAAAGTACCAGCTCGTTCAGAAACACAGCGATCCTTTTGCAGGTGTATATTAAACGTTTCCCACCCTGTTAAAACTTACTGCTTTAAACACATAACTTTTATTGTAGTTTGTTAGCTTTCTCTTTCTATCTTTTTAGTTTTTAAGCAGATTTATGCACTAATGGATCTCAGGTTTGCCCGCAGTTTCATTTTTCTCTTGCTGCAGTTTCATTTTTCTTTTTTGTCTGCTAAAGATTTTCTACTAATCATACAGTATCCTTACAGGTTAAAGTATCAAAGTTGTGAGTTGAGCGGACCATACAATCTAGACCGGGATATTTCACCTTTTTAGAGACATGGGTTCAAATGAATGTAAAAACAGTTTGGGCACTTTAATAGTGTTTCAACATCCATGATATTTTGAATTGTCGTTTATTTTTCACTCTGTGATTGTTTTTCCTCAATTAGAAATAGTATTGAAACATTTACACAGTCCCCTTTTAAGAATAACTGTATGACTGAAGCATTACAGTGGTAAAAGCTATCACAATGTTCAATTCAAAGCAGTTTTCTGTCACTTCTCCAATATACCTACTGTAGATTTATTGATGTCTGATTACTTTGTGACCCAGTGCTTGTTCTTTGAGTTGGCTTTGAAATCAATAAATAGCTATCAGCTATTTAAAGGTCATGGTTTAACTTAGGGGGCTTTCATTAGACTTCACTGTGTGAAATAAATTTTATTAAGTTCTTATCTGCTTTATCAGAAATACACCCAAGATCTGACTTAAAAGATATACTTCATATATCATAGTGGTTACTCAATCTGAAATACTAGCAAAATAAGATTCATCCATATGTGAAACTCATGAATCAACATCTTTTTTTTTTCAAGACTCAGACACCAAAAGGCATCGATGTGACTATCTCACAATTGCCTTGAACAGTAGTTATGGATCTGACTGAGCTGCTCTCTCAAGCTTTTCATCTATGTAGTGTGGTGTTCCGTATTTTTTAAAGTAAAAATGTGTCAGATTTCAGAATGTGCTTGCATGTTTCAAACAGAAGTGTGAATCGAAGTTTACTGTTCTTTGGGTGGGTTCAGCTTTCTTTGGGTGGATTCAGCTTGTGCTGAACTATTTCTACTCTGAAACATCTGTATCAGATAGCATTTAGTGATTGCCATATGTACAATGTTGAGATAACTTCAAGTATCTGCAGTGCTTGAGTGTTTACAAATAGAGGGGTTTTTATAACTTTAATTCATTCCTCTTGCCAGGCCTATTTCCTTAATTTTTAGGTTTCTATACTTCTCTCAGTTTGAAAAGCTCTGTGGAAAAACATTTCAAGGGAAAGAATGTATATTGAAATTGTTATAAACTAAGCAACTTTTATTAAGAGCGTATATTTGTATCAGTCACAATTAAAAGCAATGATAGTCATAAATGGCATGGAAGTGTTTTTTTATGAACTCAGTGAAGAAAATCCCTGTTTATTTATTGATACATAGTCTTTAAAGGGGGTATATTTGCACATGCATTGTTATAAAGAAGTTGTATTGTTTGCTCTTCAGAATGTGAAAATGCAAAGCATCATTTTTATTATAATTTCACTTAAAAAAAAAAAAAAGGATTGAGTTAACTTGATCCACTCAGTGGAATGAGTTTTAGATTGTTGTAGTGCTTTGCCCTAGGCATTTGATACTCCAAGCTCAATTTCAGATTTTTAAATAATTTTATTTTTTTGACATGAATAGAAGGTGGTTGCTGATTTCTACTTTCCTTTTTTTTTTTTTTTTTTTTTTTTTATTAATGGAGCAGTGAAAGAATTCCAAAGGTGTTGGTCAGGAAATATCTATTGGCACATACAGTATATAAATGAATTAAAATAAAACCTGCATTAGCATTCTGACTAAAAATTGTAGCAAGTACTTTTATTTATTGTGATTTAACATTTCATTGACAGGCACCTTTGCCCTGCAGGAATAACAGTTCAAACAAACAGCTCAAATGACTGTAGGTTGCCACTTTTAATGTTTAACAGTAATTTGCAGGTTTCATAAGCTATCTTAAGGGAAAAAAATCCTTTTGATTCACTAAGTTCATTTATTATAGTAAGTCACAGCATGAAAGCAACAATACAGACGTAATCCTCGCATGTGTAGAAAGGGCTAACTGGGTTGTGAATGTGGTCAAGATAGGTTTTCCAAGGTCCTCGTCATGCAATGTCATCAGTATTTCTTACTGCACTGTTCTCCTGAGAGGCAGCTGCAGCGTGCTAGTACAGCTCTCATCCATGCAGGTTATGAGGAGAGAGGTGGATTATTTTTTTTCTTTTCCAAAACAAAGATACTTGGCATGCTATTTTCTACTTAATGGGCCTTGGTAAAGTTAATCAATGGACTGCAGTAACTGTAAGGAACAAAAATCCATTAGAAATTATTTTGTTAGTCTACAGTTAGCCTGCTAGAACCAGTGACCAGGTTCCTGCCTTGCTGAGGAATTCTGTGCAACAGTAATGAACCTTCAGATTATTTAACTTTTTCCTTTTAATATAATAATTTATTCAGGGAAAGGGCTGTATTGCAGCAGGAGGAGTGCAGGGCAGAAAGGTGGGGGTTTCAATAGGCTTCTTTTAAGTTCCTTCTGGTGTAAATAAGACCTTCAAAACTGCTGGTAAGGGGAGAACTACTATTATTTTACTTACTATTTTAGAGGTGAGTCATGTTAAAATAGAGTATTTACCTCACATTTACCCAATTTTGTAACTTCCACTCATCAGCTGTTGAGATGCTGGAGCTTGTAATTAATGCAGCCTGCTGTGGAAGTTGGTCTCCCCAGGATGAGTCATGATCATCCTGAGAAGCCAGCAAGACTGAAAGCCCGAAGCCACTAGCCCTTGGAGGGGCTGCATGTCACTGGTTTGGGGTGGTGGACAGACGGCTTCCAAAGAGCTCCGTACCGGGAGATAGCTGGGTCTAGGAAGAGATCTTTTAGAAAAGTCATCAAAACTGACACATTAGGGAACTGATTTTTTGATGAGAAAGTGTCTGCTAGACAACTGCCCATCAGTATCCTGTTGAGTGATGCAGTTGATGTTAAGGATCGAACAATGCTTCGGTATCCCTCCTCACCCCATCCCCTTTAGCTCCTGAATGCTCAGGCTTACCTCTTGCAGCATCGACATCCTGCGAAGGTTTCAGCTGGGCAGCCAAAATCACGCTGGGCTGGGCTGTTCTTTCTGAAGAGGGAGAAGTGTCTTGGCAGCTGCACCTGACAAGCGCCGGTGTCCAGCTCTGTGTGCCGAGCAGGGGACGCCAGCCTTGCTGCTGCTTCAAAGCGTTGGCAGTCCTCAGCTGGCCGACAGCCCCGTGCCCTGCCAACAGCACACTCGCCAGCATGCTCTGCCATGGGGGCTGAACGTGAACCTCCAGGTATTGATGTAAAGGTAATTTGGGTATGTTTTTTTGAGTGGGTTGTGTTCAGAAGTGTGTGTGTATGTGTGTGTGTGTGGGGGGGGGGGGGGCTTCCCTCCCTCACCCCCTCTATTTTTTGATTTGTTTTTTCTGTAGCAAAAACAATTTCCCTGGGGGTCAATATCTTCCTGTTGAACTTTACAGAAAGCAGCTTTTGTTTCCCAGCTCTTGAGCCAGTAAGCCTTAACCAGTTGGGGCAGAGTTGTCTGATTTGGTCTTTCAACTTTGAAGACAGAAGCTGCACAAGTAAGAACAGGGAAAACCTTTTTATGTAAATCTTTTGCTGAAATTTAAGTCCATTTTGGGTTGTAGAATGTGACTTTCAAATTCCTCTGTTACGCGTAGCTAAACCTCGTCTCTGGTTTTGTTACTTCAGAATATGTGGTTTATAGTAGATGGCCTTTTTCTCACAGGTGGCTCTTTGCTCACGAAGGTCCTTAAGTGTGAAGGTGCTTGTGACGCCAACTTGTTTCACAGAGGTGGGTATACTTTGAGCGCATTGTTCTTTTGGTTATGAAAGGAGAACAAGAATGGTGACAATAAGCACTTCTGCATTTCTCTACGTAGCTTTTTTCCTCCAGGTTTTGGTCCAGGAAGGGATGTGTTCTTAGCTGTTGCAGTAGAATTACCAAATGACCACCCGTTAGCACTAGCAAGTGCCTGGCTAAGTAAAACTGAAGTCTGTAGTGTATCAACACTGACAAGGCCAATGCTGACGCTTATTTGTCGTTTCCTTACGGGTGCCTGAAAATGGTTAAAGTAGTTCAATTTTCAAAACAAACAGTAAAGTCAAGGAATTGTTTTCACAGAAGCGTAGACTTCGTTTGTGCAGGCTATCTATAAGCTTTATGCAGGCTTTCTGAATAGGTTCCTCTAAATAGAGCAATTCTGCATTTAATTTCTGATTCCAGCTCATGCAAGTTTTGATCCAGCTGAGAACTTGCATTTTGACTGATCTGAAAGAATATCCCCCTGAACACCCTTCCGTTTTAAGGCCACTGCAGCTTCCTTGCTTTCTGTAGAAGGGGAATCTGAAAATCAGGGCATTTTCAAAGCCTTGATTGGAGACAATGTAAGCAACGTATTCCTCCATAGCTAAGGAAACTTTGTAGAGATTTTATTCCTAATTTGGAGAAGGCATTCAGCTGTCCTATGTACCTATAATTGCTTGGTAAGCTTCCAGACAGGTTTACTGCGAAGTAAATGCGTTGTACTTGGTGTACTTGCACAGTATGGTAACACCGAACTTCTCTCATGGAGACATCACGCTCAAAGAGAACCTGGCTGTCTAGTGCAGCTAGTAGATTTCTAGGCATCTGTGACTTGTAGATTCAGTGGGATTTGAGTTTGCAACAAAGGGAATTAATTTTCTGTGCTGGAAAATCTGAGTGTAGGCTTCTGCCGCTTCAGGAAGTTGTATCCAGGCAACTGCTACTGAATGGTGAGATGTTCTCTTTGCAGGTGTCTGCTCTGCCCAGCCAAAACTGTATTTCTAGGTAGAAAAACAAGTCCATCCATCCAGATGCAGTGGCCAAGTATGCAAGGGAAAGGAGAAACGGAGAGAGAAGTATGGTAATACTGAGTTGCTGTGCAAGAACTTCAGCTCCCCAGAGATGAAACAGTAGCAGAGACTTTCCTCTGTGAAAGATGGCAGTATCTGTGGGGCAAGGGCTGCGTCTCTGAGCGGTGTGGTTTCTTAGCCACTGTCTGCCTATGTCTCCCTGCATCTCTTTTTTATTTTAATATATTTTTTAATACAAATTTTAAATGTGAATTTACAATTTCTTTGCAAAGTTGATGTAGGTTATCAGTAACTAATGTTTCAGGCCCCTCCTGTAAAAGCAGTGTGATGCACCTCATCTTTAGGAATACTAACATGGTGAGGCAGTACTTGCCTTCTCAATTACTTCACCATATGAAGATGACAGATTACTATCACCTGGAACTTTCAAACATTATTTCATAAATGCTGATTCAGTCATTCTGCAAAATGTCCGATTTGTGCATTTTGAACTAGTGAAACTGAAAGGACTGTAGGAACTGGTAAGTGGAAGGCAGAAGAAATATACTTGATGCTTGTAAATTTATAGTTGGATTTTTGAAGTCTCCAGTATATACAGCTACTAGAAAATCACTTGAAATGTGATCCTTCAATAAGCAAAATACAAGGAGTTATTTTTCAATAAATCAAAAAATGAATGAACTATATGCTTACATCCTTTTTCTTAATACTGTTATATGAAATGTTTATACTACACAATAGGCATTTCACTTGAAATATATAGACACTAACAACATAACCCATTTTTCCTCTGTCCTCTTGTTAATGTGGCTACCAAGGGTAGGAAGGTGTTCCAAACACACCATTTGCATTGCAAGAGGCAGCCGCGAGTTACTAGTATTTTCTTCATCCTAAATCCAAAGCACAGCACCATACCAGCTAGTAGGAAGAAAACTAACACTGTCTCAGCCAAAACCAGGGCAAATGTCAATTTTAAAACACTTCATGATGATATAATTTACCAGTCCTAAAAGCAGAACTGGTGCGAATTTTAGGTATAGGTAGAAATACTGAGTAGCTCTAGGACTAAATTAATACACACTGGGATGTTCATGGACCTAAATGCCCGTAAGAAGCTGTTAAGCTCGCAGACACTAATAATTTCTAAAAATACTGTATATTATACAGAGATATAATGTAACATAGATTAACATAATAAACACATCACTGCAGCAGCAGCATCTTACAAAATGGTTTGCCACATGCTGCCAAATGCTGAATTATATCAGCTTTATGGGCTATGCTGAATGTTTTCCTTAAGTAAAGTTATTTAAATTCTGAATGCCTCTTTTTCCCCTCAATGAGGTGGAAAAAATATTTTTTAATGGTGGACTAATGATGATGGTCTCAGGGGTGTTGATTATTCTGCATGATGGGGTTTTTTAACCTACCTTCAGTAGGTATCTTGCC